GTAGAGTGCTGTGGCCTCACAGCTCACAGCAACCTCCAGCTCTTGGGCTTAGGCAATTCTCTTGCCTCAGCCTCCAGAGTAGCTGGGACTACAGGCATCTGCCACAACGCCTGGCTATTTTTTTGGTTGCAGTTTGGCCAGGGCCGGGTTTGAACCTGCCACCCTCTGTATGGCCGGTGCCCTACTCACTGAGCACAGGTGCTGCCCATCTCTGGGCACTTCTAAAAGGTAGCCTCGGACCTGACTACAGGGCTTCCGCCAGGGGCACCACTCAGGAGGCCTGAGGCCCTAATGGCTCCCTCCCCAGGACCTTCCAAATATCATCTGACCATTCTTTAACATCAGACCCATTTTACAGATGAGGAGACTGAGGAGTCTTGGAGGATATGTGACTTGTCCAAAGCCACACACTGGACATGTCCCACCCACTTGCAGCTGCTCATGGCCCTCACTGAGGGGAATGGGCCTTGGAAAGCTCCTCCCTTTTCCCACGGGAGGACGCCTTCTCCCTGGGACCACCCAGGGAGTGCTGGAGCCCAGGGCACAGATAGCGAGGAACCCAGGCTAAGCCCCTACCCACAGGGACAGTGTTCCATGACCTTCTGCTAGAGCGCATGTGACTTCCCGTGTCTACTACAACTTGAACAGTTTCCCTGAAGTGAGGAACCACAAAACCCCTCTGCTGAGAGGGGCCGATATCAGAGGCAAGAGGAAGGAAAAGGGAGGGAAGGGAGAACTTTGCACCCTCCGCCGAGGCCCACTCGCTCTTCTATGGGCGGAAGAAAGGGGACAGAAGCTGGCTAGCACCTGCACCATGCCAGGCACTGAGCTTCCCACAACACTGTGAAGAAAGGCTGTGATTTTCCACTTCACAGATGAGAAAACAGGCCCAGAGAAGGAAAGTCACGGGCACAAAGGCACAAAGTGGGGAAGAGGAGAGTCTGGACTGTAGGAGGGGCAGCCCCGTCGAGGGGGAAGCCCACTGAAGCCTGGAGTTGGGGAGAAAGGAAGGGTGGGGCAGGGGACAGGAAGCCATAGGGAGAGCATGGGGACAGGTCTCAGGAAGGGGGCAGACAGCTCTGGTCCTTGTGACTAAGGGCACCAGGCTGTGTGGGTTCAAATCCAGGCTCTACCACATCCTGGCTGTGTGGTCTTAAGCCAGTGGCTGCTCCTCCCTGAGCCTCAGTTTACTCTTCTGTCAAGTGCCGGTGAAGAGAGTCCCTTCCTCAGTTGCTGGGAGAATGAAATGGGGGGTGTTTGGGCCTGGCACCCAGAAAGTGATTATCAGCTGGGGGAGTCCTGGTGGGCAGCAGTGGTTGCTGTCTTCCTCACTAGAACTGCAGCTCCCCCTACATCACTACCCCAAGCACCATCAACGTCACTACCCCAAGCCAGGGTCAGCCAGGTCAGCCAGGAGACACCAGCTAGAGGCCAAGGCAGGACCTGAGTTACCTCCTGCAGAGGAGAAAGGGTTGTTGGGATCACTCAGGCCAGCCTGTGCAGATGGGGAGACTGAGGCCTATCCCAAGGCCACACAGCCCATCTGTGTAGGAGCCAGGGCAAGGAGCCAGGCTTCCGGGGCCTTTGTCTTGGCCCAAAGCACACACTTTAAAAGGAAAGAGGTTGAAACAGCAAGGACCAGGAGGCAGAGCTACATCTTAGAACGAGCCCAGGGACAGGCTGCCCAGAAAGAAAAGAGGGCAGGGGTGCAATTCTGAGCCAGGGACCCTAGCATGGGACAGGGGGCCCAGGGTTTAAGCATCTTCCTCCTGGGGAAGATGGCTGTGTCACCATCAGGGGCAGGAGGGAGGTGGTGGCTGCGGTTTCTCTTCCTGTGAAGAGATGTGAGTCCCCAGGGCCCTCCCAGTTCCGGCAGGAGGAAGGGTGGTGGGGCTGAGCAGGGAGGGGGTGGGGAGGCCTGACCTGGGCCCGTAGGAGCCTGTGGCGAGGCAGAGAGCAAGGGCACAGCTCACAGTGACCAAGCCCAGCAAAGGAGTCAGCTCTTAGGCAAGTGGCCCTATTCCTGGGCTACAGGCATGTTGGAGTCTGACCAGGGATAGAGACAGAGCCAGCAGGCCCAGATGCCACGGAAGAAGCCAGAGGCATGGTCATCTCCTCTTGATGCAGGCAGCCTTAAGCCACTACAAGGAGGCACCCCCAGTGAGCCAGCAATTCCTTCACACCCAATTTGGCCTCCTGCTAACTGTGTGACTTTCAGAAGTCATTTTAGTTCTCTGGTCCAGTGCTCTGAAGGCAAAGAGGAGTTGTGCTGAGAAGCCGGGGTGGGGGTGGGGGGTGAGGAAAGGGATGGGAGGCGTAAAAGAAAAAGCGACACCCTTCAATTCTAAAGCAGAGGCACCTCCTCCAGGAAGCCTTCCCAGAACACCGAAGCTTGACTTGGCTGCTCGCCCTCTGAGCAACCACAGCACAACTCACTCCATCCCTGCTTCCGTCTGTTCAGAACACACCCCTTATTCTCAATATCTGTTAATAGATACTACCACCAGCGGACTGGAGTGAGTGCTCTAGCAGCCTCATGTGTGTTAATTCACTTAATTCTCCCAACCACCTAGGAGGTAGGAGTGAACATGCTTTGCTGATAAGGAAACAGGCACAGAGAGGCTAAGTGATTTGCCTGAGGTCACACAGCTAGCGCATGACACAGAGTTTGAGCCAGACAGCGTGTAGCCTGGAGCTCATGTTCACAACCACCATGAGGCTGAGTCAGGGCTCCTCCTGCATCCAGGTCCCCTCTCTGAGCCCAAGCCCCCTACCAATTTCCTTGGCCAGTGCCAGGCCCTGTGGGTAGGTGATGGGTGCCAACTTCTTCTCCTTCAGCTTCTCGATGGTGTCCTTGTCATCCCGCAGGTCCAGCTTGGTGCCCACCAGGATGATGGGGGTGCTGGGGCAGTGATGCCGCACCTCGGGGAACCACTGGACAGATGGGGACACAAGGTTGTGCAGGGAGCAGAGGGAGGGTGAGGAGGTAGGAGAAGAGGGCCCAGGTTATGCGATCGGGGGCGGGTGTGAGCACGTGAGGAGAAACACGAGGCAGTACAGGAAGGAGAAAAGAGGCGCGTGGTTGTAAGAAAAGAAGAGGCGCGATTTCAGACAGAGATGATAAGCATGACATTAGGACACGAGGTTGTGCAGGGAGGAGAAGGGACAAGATTATAGGGGCTGGGAGTTAACTATCCCAGCCCTCCCTGAGACCGCTCTAAGTCTCTCCCCAGGACCCCACCAGCCCTGGTTGGTATTGGAGACTCTCCCTGCCCAGAGCTTCTGCTGTCCCAGGGATCAGCCTGAAGTTGCCAGCTCTTCCCTCCTTCCTCCCTTAGGGTCACCCGCCCTTGTGTCCCCGAAGCCGACTTGGTCCAGCTCACCTTGGCACGGACATTCTCATAGGAGGCTGGGCTGACGAGGGAGAAGCAGATGAGGAAAACATCCTGGGGACAGAGCAAGCAAGGGTTGCCCATGAGTGGGGTTCAGAGGTGTTCCCCTTGGCAGCCACTGAGGGGTGGAACAGTCCAGCGGGCTTAGGATCTGAGCAGAGCAGGGATGCCAGGCTGCTGCCTGCTACCTAACATACATTCCAGGCCAGGGCCCCTTCTGAGTGACTGTGCTAACACACCTCTCTGAAGTCAGTGCTGCTGCTGGCCCCATTGTACAGATGGGGAAGGTGAGGCTTAGGCTGCTAAGGGGAGGATCTGAGATTCCAGAGTCCATGCTCTGAACCAAGCACTATCCTACCATCTGAGGATAGTGGACAGGCCCCAGCCAACTCCTTGCCCACCCTGGAGGGACAGTGAAGAACCCCAGGACCTGGCAGTCACAGAGCCACTAGCAGGTACCCCAACTTCCCTCGCCTTCCCCAGCACTCCCAGGGCTCATCCTCCCTGGCTTCCTGGCTGCCTGGCTGCCTTGCTGCCTGGTTGCCTACCGGGGCCCTCTGCTGGGTCCACCTGTCCCACTGCTGGAAGCCACCTGCCGAGAAGGCTGGTAAGGCTGGCATGGCCTGAGCGTGCGGAGCCACCCCTGTATGGATGGTGCCCAGCTGGGTGGTGGGGGAGGCCCTACTCTGCCTGGAGAGGGGCTAGGCAGACTCTACCACCTGAGCCTCAGGGAAGAGTCAAGTTCCCCCATGCCAAGCTGGCTGGAAGGGCACCCAAGCTGAGGGAACAGAAAGCCTAAAGGTCAGAACCACAAAGAGAGGGTGGGGCAGCACACCGTCTGGGGGTAGGAGAGCGGCCGGAGGCGGTCATAGTCCTCCTGCCCCGCAGTGTCCCACAGCCCCAAGTTCACAGGTTTGCTGTCCACCATCACGTTGGCTGAATAGTTGTCAAATCTGTGGGGAACACGCAAGACAGAAACAAAGTCAGTCCCAAACCCCAGAGCCCTGAGATTCCCAACCAGCTCCATGTCGTACCATTCAGAAGCTGAGACCCAGAGAGAGTCTCTGACCAGCCCAAAGCCACACAGCACTACGAGGGGGGACTTCTTTTATTTTTTTTTCATTACTGAGTCATTATTTTTAAATTTTTTTAATGTAAGTAAACAAAAAGAGGAAAATACTATCTTGGTCATTTTTCTACCTTCAACCATCCTTTGAAACTATGTAACTTTTCCTCCAAGTCATTGCCCACCTCCTATGCTGGATACCTAGGTTGTCTCCTAATATTTGTTGAATGAATGTTTGTCCCCACCTTAGATTGGGCCCCTCCCACCCACCCAAAGCAAACCCTAAGGCAGGGAGGTGACCCCAGGAAGGTGCGGAGGGGAGTGGGAAGGAGTCCAGGAAGGGACTGGGAAATGGCCTGGACTGCACTCAGAGTGTCCCCAGGCGGGCAGAAAGCTGGGTATTGATTCACTGTCTTCCACCCTCCCTGGGCAGAGGGCTGCTCCTGGGGTCTTTCCGCCTACCCTGGAGTGCACACCAAAAGCCATTAGTCACCAGCCCCGGAAAGGGCCACTGGAAAGACATGTGGAGGGGTGGGGTGAGCTACTGGTATCAACTGTTAACTTCTCCCTGAAGGCACTGGGAGCCCTGCAGGGCAACGATGAGCTTCCAGATTTGTTCTTTGGACGTCTACTGTGTACCAGGAGCAGGGCCAGTGCCAGGTGTGCCAGTCAGGCAGGAGGCAAGACACTGGGGAGGAAGCCTGACAAACATGAGAGAAAGGGCAGTCCAGAGCCCAAGCCCAGGTCTCCAAGCTTGGAGCAATGGAGGCTTCACAAGCAAGTTCTCACTACACACATCCCTCATGCCATGGAAGAGAACACTGGGATCAGAGAGGTACAGTGACTTGCCCAAGGCCACACAGCCAGGGTGTGACCAAACGGGAGAGAAACCATCTCCATCTGACTCTACAGGACAGGTGCTCACTGCCCTGTGCCACAGCTATGCCTCCAAGGCTGCTCTTCCTGCCTAATTCTCTCTGAGGTCACCTGTACAGGCCCTGCTCCTCATCTCCTGACCTGGCCCACTGAGACCTCAGGCTCTTCTGGCTTCTCCTACTATTCTTCTCAAGCCAGGCCATTTCCCTGAGCAAGGCTCACACGGCCTGCCCCCCTGCGCTTGTCCACACTGGGCCCCCTACCTGGCACACCTTCCCCCCCACCTCCGCTATCAAAATAGTCTCAACCATCCGGACGTTGCCGTCCTCCACAGCCTCCAGGCTGCCTGCCCTCCAAGTCCTTGCTCCTGTCTGTGCCTCACTCTGAAGTGCCCTCCCATCCCCTTGTCACTCCTGCCTTCTAGTCCTGCTTAAAACCCTGCTCAGGCAATTCCTCGGTAGGAAATGACCTTGTCTTCAACCAGGAAAGAGCTCACTGTTCCCTCTCTTGGGCATGCTTTGCCTTGATCCTGAGCAGGCATTCAGTGTGTCTCTGTCCCCTCTAGAGCTGTGGGCTCTGTCTGAGCGGGGCTGATGCTTGCTTCATCCCCACGGCCTCAGGCCTGGCACCCAGGGAATGCAGGAACCAGGGACAGAAGGAAACTGAATTGAAACTCTTCGAGGTCTCCTCTTTACTGAAGCCCTCCCAGAACACTACTCACTGGCAGGCTGCAGAAGCCCCAGGTTTCAGAGGAACTCTGAGGACCCCTCTTCCGAGAAGGAATCCCCCCCCAACACCACCCCAAAACATGCCCAGCCTGATGTGTTTAATACACTGTGCTCGTTCAGCCCTGCGGAGTGCTCCTGGTCACCTCTCAGTTCCCCACATGTCTCTCTCCCTCCTGTCTGGAAAGACCCTACCAACGCTGAGTCCTGACTCCCACTCTCCTTCCTCCTCCTTCCCTCTTCTTCCTCCTCACTGCCAGGCCACCTCTTACTCACTCTTACCCCTCCGGCCCCTGCTCAATGCCACCCCCTCTAGAAAGCCTTTCCTGACCCCAGGCAGGTCAGAGCCACCATCCCACCCCCAGCCATCCCTCCCTGGGGAGCTCAGCACCCTGGTGGCAGGCACTAGGCCTGCCTGGTCCTTCCTGAACCCTGGGCCAGCACAGGGTGTGGTACATGTTAGGTGCTGCTGTGTCCCCACTCCGGGCAGCATGCACGCCCCTGTGGGATTTCAGGAAGAAGGTGCCATCCAGGGAGACACAAGTGGGCATGACGGGAAAAGAAGAACTTGCAATGGTTTTGCCTTTGACCAGGAAACACATCTTTGGGACAAGCTCAGAATGCAGAACACTCTCTCCACTAATAGCCAGCCAAGGAGTGCCAAGAAGTTTCCCAATATTCCTTAGGCAAAGGCATCTGTTTTCCAAGCAGGACCCTCAGGGACCATGGCAACATGGAAAGAGCTGGGGCCTTGAATAGCACCATGCCACCACCTACCCTGTGGCCAAAGGCCTTTGTACATTAGGTCATTTTTTTTTCTTTTTGAGACAGAGTCTCACTCTGTTGCCCACGCTAGAGTGCCATGACATCAACCTAGTTCACAGTAACCTCAAACTCCTGGGTTCAAGCAATCCTCCTGAGTAGCTGGGACTACAAGCACCCACAACCATGCCCAGGTAATTTTTCTATAATAGAAATGGGGTTTCACTTTGCTCAGGTTGGTCTTGAACTCCTGAGCTCAAGTGATCCTCCCACCTCAGATTCCCAGAGTGCTGGGTGAGCCACTGAGCTCAGCTTGTACATTAGGTCTGAAGTCCCATGTGACCCAAGAAGGACCTTAAGTTGCTCCCTTTAGACAGATGAGGAAACTGAGGCCCCGAGAGGCCAATACCTTTTCCAAGGCTCATAAGCACTGGAGCTGGATTCCAGACCTGCTCCTTCTGTGATACCTTTAGTGTGAACAAATGAACTTCTGGGAGGGTGGGTTCCTCCCAGGGGACAGCTGCCCAGAGTAGGAAGGAACAAAGAATTCCTTGCGAAGTCATGTCATTCTGGCTGTGTGATGCTGAGTTAGTGACTTAGCTTCTCTGAGCCTCACCCTCCTCACTGCGAGGGAAAACAAAAACAAAAAACCTAAAAAACTACATAGAAAAAAATGGCTCAGAAGGAAGCTCCAGAGACAGAGGATGTTCAGCCACCCCATTGAGAGAAGCTGAGCAATCTCATTGTCCATGTCCCTAGAGGTCCCCTCCCCAGAGGACCAGCTGCCAGACTCTGAGGGTCAGCTGCAGGGATGTGTCAATGAGGTAAATCCCCAGGGTCCCCCTTACTTAAGAGGCCCGTAGGCAGCCAGAACTCAACACACCATCATGGCCAGCCCTCACTCCACTTTCCAGATGAAGAACCTGAGACTCACAGACAAGAGGGGACTTGCCCAAGATCTCCCAGCCAGTGGGTGGCAGAGCAAAGGCTAGACCCTGTTATATACCCACTTCAGAAAAGCCCAGCGATAACATCTCTGCTGTGTCACAGCTGGAGACAGAGGTGGAGATAGCAGAGTGTTCCCACACATAGCCCGAAGGCCTCTGAGGCCTGGCCTCTTGCTCCAGGCCCAGCCCTGCCCTAGAATGGGGTGAAGGAGGGGAATGGGGCAGGGGACAGGAGTTCAGCATCTAGATGTCACCTGACCACCACCAGAACCCACTCCAAGGAAAAAGGATGGTACATTTAAGGAACGTGCAGACCTCAGGGCATATTGGCTAGTACCTTGGGGATGAGGAAGGATGGAGCTAGTCAGGCAATTGTGGACACAGTAAGGATTTGGGGCTGTCCTCAGGGCAACAGGGAGTCAACATGGCACTTAACCAGACATGTTTGCATGTAGAAAAGGCCCTCGTGGCTGCTGGGTGGAGTCTCCTGGAGAGGTCAGCCGGGAAAGTTGGGAGGCCAGTGGGGAGGCCCTGACAGTCCCAGGAGAATGAGGAGGAGGAAGGGAACAGAATATGGAAGCGGGCAGGAGGCTGAGGGAAGGCAGAGACTTGAGCCAGCTGGGCACCAGGAGGGACTAACACACCTGGTGGCAGGTGCGTGGCGCCTGGGGCAGGCCATGCAGGAAAGCTTGGCGGCACCCCGGCACACCCGGATACCCTCCTGTCTATGTGAACCCCAGGCTTGGCTCAGCAGCTTACTTAAGAGACAATCACAAAAGAAGGTGAAAATGAAGTTCCAACCGAGTCAGCCTAAATTATGAATAACTAGCGTGCAGTCTTCCCTACGCAGCCGAGCCCTCTGTGCCTCTCAGGGAGGTCAGAGTGTGCCCTGCCCACCTGCCAGGGTGTCCAGTCAGACTGAGACCAGCCATGTGCTCAGCTCTGTTCTAGAAACTGGCACCACAGCAGTGAGCAAGACAGACAAGGGCCCTGTCCTCGGGGAGCTTCCAGGCCAGCAGGGGAGCAGCAGGATGCGGTGGGATAGTGAGGGGTGTGAATGTCCACAGAGTGTGGCATGGAGAAGCCTGGGCTGAGCCAGCGCTGCTTTAGATGGAGGGTCGTGGGTGGCCACTGCAGGCCAGGAAACTGAACAACAGGGTGGAGGGTATCAGAGCATGGTGGAGGTGACACATCTGGGGTCACTGAGACAGCCCGCATAGCTGGAGTGGGTAAGGGGATGCGAGTCTGGGGAGGAGCCGGCTGTCATCCTGGACTCCAGGCTGGGTTTTAAGCGTGAAAGTCACCACGGGAGGGATTTAGGCCTGGACGTGGCTCTGTCTAAGGCTCACTTTACAAGCTCACCTGGACCTCCATGCTTTCAAGGAGTGAGGTGTAAGGCTGCCTGTGTCCCAGGCACCTGAGGCCAGGGTTTTCCTGCCATGCCTTTGTGTCCCCAACATCCAGCTTGGGACCATCCACAGAGCAGGCTTCATTCTACTCATCTGTGCAATGGGCTGAGTTGAGGCAAAGTGATGCCTCAGGGCCATCCCATCTCTGATACTGGGCTTACGATGTAACTCACAAGGCTATAAATGCCACGAGGTAGAGTGAATCTCTCTGGTCACGGCTCTAGGCCTCAATGTCCCCATCTAAATACACCACAGGATATGCAGAATGAAGGAGGGGTTGAGGACGAGAGCCTATCAGGGGCAGCCTGCTCAGGAAGGTGTCTGCTCTGAGACCACAGGTTCACTCCACCCGCTGGCAGCAGAGCAGCTCTCAGCCCATCTGTCCCTGTGTCTGCAGCACTTGCTCCCCTCTCCAGAAAACCCCCCACTCCCTAATGTTTCCCCAGCTTTATCTCAGGTGCCAGAGATCTCAGGCTGCCTGTTTTTCCCAACTCATCCCCTCTCCTTCCTCCCCCTCCAATGTCAAAGGCCCAATGTAAGTTATTCCACCTTTCCTGAGGCACTGAGCCCCTGATCCCCTGGGGGCTTGTCCAGGACTGAGCAACTCTGTGGCAGAAGCATAGGAGGGTGGGATGCAGGGCCCAGTACAAAATGGAAACACAGGATCCCTTGTTCACAAATTAAGAATTTCAAGATGGAGACAACAGAGCATTAACCAAAATGCAAGACATTTCCGAGTACCAGATCCTGTGCCACTACACAGGGGCACACCACATAACTGCCCTACTGGGGCACTCTGATTCAACTCTTGAGAGAGTCCTAGGAAGACAGACCACATCTAGTCCACTCTCCCAGCTTCTTCAGGGTTGTCCAGGGAAACCAAATCTACTCAGGGCCACCAGGAACTAGAGGCCTCCAAGTTGCTGAGAGCAACTGGCCCTAGCCTGGCCTCAGCAGTCTCAGCTGTCATTTTCCTGCACAGGAGAGGCCCTCAGACGAGGATCATGGGATCTCCCAGCCCTTTCCTATTACCCCCAAAGGAAACTGAGTCTCAGAGAGGGAAAGGTCCTTCAGCAAGTGGGCCTCCAACCTAGTCAGGACAAGATGGGGTCTTGAGCCTGCATCCAGTTACTCAGAGACACAGGCAGTGACAACACACTCTGGACCACAGCAGCCTTGAGCAGGAGCCATCTTACCCAACTCTGTACCTGCCTCCCTGCTTCAGTCTAGAGCCAGCCCACTCTTGGCACTTGGAGGTGCCTGATGAACATCTGAGGACTGATGGAGAACGGGACAGAAACTTCACCCTCACTTTGCACGTGAGGGCAGGTGCAGAGAAGGCTGCTCACTAGCACCAGGACCCAGCTGAGGCCAAATCAGTGTTCCAGGCTCCCTGCCCAGGTTTCTCTGCCCTCTCTTGGCAGCCTGCCTTCCTCCTGCCTGGGCCAGGATGTCTGAAGCAGCTGAGCCCAGAAGAGATGTGAACAGGAGGACCCCAGTGCTACCAAGCACTGCCATGGTGGGCCAGGAGGCACAGGGCTGCTGTGCTGGGAGCAGAGTCTGGGCTGAGACAAGGTAACGGGCTGAGGTCATGGGGTGGGTCAGAGGCATCTTGGTCCTGGGTACTGTTCTCCCTTCTGCCTCTCCCTGTCTCTGCCAGGAGAGCCTGATCCTCACTCCTGAAATGGAGCCCCATTAATATAAAAAAAAGAAGGCCGCAGTGAGGGCAAGCCAGACAAGCCCTAGTGACTGGGCAGGACAAGTCTGTTAGCTGCTGTGAGCCTCAGCTTCCCATGGGTGTCCTGTTATCGTAATACCCATCTCCTTGAGGATCAAATGCAATCTCCTATATGTGACATCTTGTGTGGAGCCCAGCACACAGCAGGCCCTTGAGAGATGGCAGCTAGGAATGATCCTCCCAGGGTTTCTCTCATGATGTTCATTCAAGTCAGGCCAACTCAAAACACACGTACTGTGCGTAAGACAAAGTGCACATCACCACATGTGTAAGGCACTGTGCTAAGACAATGGGGAAGCCCAAAAAGAACTAGAAAGGCTCGTGGTCATGGGAGAAGACAGACAAAGTCACTCTGGAGTATGAGACATCCCTTTGGGCTAGTTCAGAAAGGCTTCCTGGAGGAGGAGGCCCTGGAGCTGAGTCTGCAGGCTTTGAACAGGTGGATAAGGGAAGAAAAAGCACTATCAGAAGAGGGAATGGCTTCAGCGAAGGCCTTGAGGTAGAAATGCCCAGGGAGGCTGGGCACAGTGGCTCACACCTAAAATCTCAGCACTTTGGGAGGCTGAAGCAGGAGGATCACATGAGGCCAGTCTGGGCAACATGAAGACCCCATGTCTACAAAATACTTAAAAATCAGCTGGGTGTGGTAGCAGGTGCCTGTAGTCCCAGCTTCCCAGGAGGCTGAGGCAGGAGGATCACTTGAGCCTAGGAGTGTGAGGCTGCAGCAATCTCTGATTGTACCACTTCTGCTCTCCAGCCTGGGTGACAGACTGGAAAGAGGACAGGAGAGAAGAGGAGAGGGGAGGGGAGAGCAGGGAAGGAAGGAAGAGGGGAGAGAGAGAAGA